TCTAGAATTTTTGTTGACTTGTCTTTGTATCATAAATTACTTCCATAAAAAGAAATAAGCCACAATAGTTTAACCAAACTAGCCACTAGTTTGGTTAAGAAATATGCCACTAGTTTAACCAAACTAGCCACTAGTTTGGTTAAGAAATAAGCCACTAGTTTAACCAAACCAAACCAAAGTTAGCCCTAGTAAAAGAGTTAATTAGATGTCACATTTCTCTTTGGTTTTACACTTTAAGTAAGTGAACTCAAATACTAAAGAATTGCTCTTTTGATGCTCTGAGAGTGTTTCCAAAAATGGAGGGAAAAAATCTAGATGTAATTTATAATGTGGGATTAAAAATACATTAAAAAGAGCTATTAATAAACATGTCTCTGGGTTTCTTCCTTTTGAAACTCAAAACAGTGTGGTCTGCCTTGTGCCTACATCAAAGCAAGCTAGCAGACTCAAGACAGGAGGACGAGGGCTCCATTCAGTATCTCTCTCCCAGTGCCCAGACACATCTCATGGAAATGCTCTTTGAATCAACAACACATTTAGATAACCAGAAACAGAACAGCAAGATAAACCCACAAGAAAAAAGAATCATGACATCGTCACACTCCTTTCTAGTTTTCTCCAAAACATTTTTCTTACAGATGAACCCAATAAGTCAAAGAGCTCTATTTTTACTGCATCAGTATTATGGTGGCATAAACAGATCAAGGAGCAAACTCATCTTCAGGAAAAAATGAGCCTACAATGTAAATTATGTAAACTTATTTTATTTTATTTTATTTTATTTTATTTTATTTTATTTTATCTTTTTGAGACAGGGTCTCACTATGCAGTTTGGGCTGGCTTGAGCTCACTTTGTAGTATCCCAGGCTGGTCTCAAACTCGAAACAATCCTCCTGCCTCAGCATCCCAAGTGCTGGGCTTGCCGGCATGTGCCACCACACCCAGCTAGGTTATTTAAACTTTTAAAACAGCATATTTGGGATGGAGGTTGTTGAAATGAAAGGATGAATGAATCTGTGAGAAAACATGAAATTTTAAAGTAACTCAAGAGTGTGTGATAATGTATAAGTGGGCCTAAGTTTCAATATTCTTATATAACTTTTTCTTCTACCCACCTGTGTCAGAATTTAAGTTAAAAAGGGAGAAGAATAATTGAAAGGTACTGAGACTAGTTTGCAAAATTCCCATTGTAAAAATTGGGGCATTATTCTGGAAGACAAAAGAATAAAGCTGGAGGCAAGAAAAAAAGAAAAAAAAATGGAGCCTGAATATAGTGGTGCACATCTCTAATCTAGGGTACCGGAAGGCTGAGCAGCAGGATCACAAATTCAAGGACAGCTCGGCCAGTCTCCTGTCTCAAGATAAATATCTACTACAGGACTGGGGGAGCTGCTCAGTATTCCCCATGTTCAACCTTAGGGCGGTGTGGGGAGAGTCTGTGTCCGCTCAGGTACACTACAGAGAGCTTGAGAGAGTTTTGAGGAGAAGCAAGAGGAAGCTGTATGGTTACTCTGTAGGCTGTGATTTATGAAGTTTTGCTGCACTCTATCACTGAAAGTCCCAAGGAATTTCATAGGAGGCTGCAGTAAGGATTGCAGTTACCTTCCAATTGTTCACAGATGTCATTTGTCCATAAAGGCAGTTTCTAGGACTCGTTTGTGCTGGCAGCCTTGGTAGAGATTGGCCTTATGGTGAGCTGGGAAACCCCAGTTTTATGTACTAAATACAACAAAACCAAACCAGACTCAGAAGGGGATGATCATGTTCCATAATGTTTTTATTCTGTTCACTGAGAACAACCTTAGAAAGAAAGTGTAATACCATCATTAGAGTAAACAGCATGGGATTTCTTTAAAAAGTTATAAATGGCAGTCCCATTTCTGGTAATATGTCTGTGATGGTTGAGACATTGTGTCAACTGGAGAAGTTTAGAAGTATAACTAAGGAACTCAGCAAGGAGCCAGGGTCTCCACTTTGTAAGCATTCTCATCCTGTGCAGGAGGAGGGCAGGGAGATGGTGTGAATGCTACACCTGTTCTAGGGGGTGGTAGCCTGCTTATAATATAGGGGAGAAAGGAGGCTTGTCTCCCCCTCTTTTTGCTCTGGTGCTTTTGCTGTCTTCTATCTTCTTGAAGTGTTATCCCTGTGACATGCCACTTTGCTTTGAAGCCAGCTTATTATGGACTGAAACCTCCACAAACAGTGAGCTAAATAAATTTTCCTTCCTCCATTTTGGGTGTCAGGTATTTTGTCCCAGCAATGAGAGCTGAAACCAGCATGTCAAAGACACGGTTTACTTCTATGTTCATTGTACATTATACTCAATAGCTAGGATATGGAACCAAAGTGTATATCAATGGATGCATGGGTAAGGAAAACGTGGCATATGTACATGGCAGAATACTACCTAGCCATTTAAAGAGACATCTTATCATCTGCATCAACAAAGATGAACTGGAAGGACATAGTGCTAAGTGAAATGAGCCAGGCAAAGCAGACAAATTCTGCATGGTCCCACTTCCACGAGGAATTAAAAACTGTCAGCATTATACATACTGACAGTAGAAATGTGGTTTCCAGAAATAGGATTGGGGGAAATAAAAGGAGATGGTCAAGGGGTATAAAGCTTCAGCTAGATGGGATAAATAAACTCCCAAGATCTCTACAATATGGTGACTGTAATTAATGATGATCTTCTATACTTGGAAAGGGTTAAGTAAATTATAAATGTTCTCATCGCAAAAAAATACTCAGTGTGTGGGAGGGTGGATGTCAGTTACTTGATTTATCACTTTAGAATGAAGAGCTTATTGAAGCACCAGCTGGAACACCACGAATGCATGCAAGGTGTTCTGGTTTCCATACGTAAGTCTCCAGAGCCCGAGAGTTTACCCCAGAGGGGGCTGCCTCCTCTCCGAACAGCTTCTTCTGGTAGCGGGTCGTGACACTCTTTTGCTGTCCTCTAAAGGTTAGAGTGAAGCACTCTTGTGCTCATGAATCTCTCATGAGCTGTGATTAAGTACCAATAAATTCCAAGCACTGTTTGCCTGATAAATCTCCTCCACCTAAATGCACAGGCATCAAAGTCATCCACAACGGTAACCCAAGGCCACTTCTATTATGAATTTGGCCTTTGCTTTTTAAAAAAATCACTATGATTCTTCCCTAGATAATGACTCGCATAAAACGTTCTCCGTGATTAACAACGGCATCTGTCTCTCAGCTGCTGCCAGGAAGTACCAGGGCTGACCGTGGCCAGCACTGCAACACAGATCTCTTCACAAAGCAGAAGACAGCGGGCTCATCCCTGAAGCTCTTCCAGGAGAAACTGCATGACGAGTGCATTGATGTCTTTATGAAACATCTGCTAAGTGCTTCCGGAGTCCCAAGCCCAATGACTGGCTGACCTATCTATTTCGGCCATGCTAATGCCCTCCGGGTCTGAGGACTGGACAGACAATTAAGGTCCTAGGTTAAGGTAAGTTTTTAAAAAGCTAAGATAAGTAGCCTAACTTCCTTCCAAAACTATTTTCTTCTAATCTTTGACATGCTAAAGGCATGATGTCAGTGGATTATTTTGAGCAAAGGAAGATTTGCCTTAAAAAAAACAACTAACCTCCCAGCCAAGCCAGAGCAGATACACTTACCACAGGAGGGCAGTGACCGTGGACAGTGGGGTTGAGTGACAGAGCAAACTAACTCAGTGAAGCACATTTCCTGTGTAAATGAGTATGTTTCCAGGCCATGAGGTTTTTGCATAGGTATTGCAAAAACTCACTAGGACAAAGTACAGAAAACTGCTACTGTCATCCTGGCCTGACAGCCATCATCACAACAAAAGCACTTTCTACCCATTTCTCAGATTGTGTTGGAGCCATTGAAGCTGAATACATGTGCAGGGCTGTGGTGTGGCCCGGGCATGGTTGAACTGAGAACGAGGAGACACCGCAGGGGACAAAAGAGGCCACAGCTGAGGCCACCTGCAGACTTTCTGGATGGTTTTTCTTAATTAGCATTGTCTGTTGCTCTGAGGGCTCCTTGAACCCCACCCAAGATCCTGTTCAGGTTTCCTGCATTTTCCTCTTAACTCCTTGCTTGTTCTGATTAAATACGGGCTGCCCAGTGTCAGTCAGCTGGCCGACTAGCAGAGTATGAGCTCTGCCGAGGATTTCACTCCTCATGCAGGAGTGAAAGACCATGCCAAGTGTCTCATTCCTTTGAGCCTTCGCCATGTACCTGTTTGGGGGCCTGGGGGTCTAGGTACAGACCCCAGTAAGATTGAATGAAAAAAATGTGAAAGAAAAAAATGTTTTGGTCTTTTCCTCGTGGGTCTCCAATTCTGGACCACAGTATCTTAAAAGTATTATGATATAATTACATACTTGAAACTTTATGTTTCCTTGAGATAAGGAAACCTCTTGTTAGCAACAAACCAATAGGAACGGGAAAGTAAACCTACCTTCCTATCTCTAGAAGACTACTTTGTCCGCTGTACTTCTTGGGCAGATGTGTAATTCCCAAGTTAGAGGAATGAAAGGGCTTTGTAAGACATCTTAAAAGCAAGGAGATGAATAGAGAGGCCTAAGAGGCTACCGCACCTGGCACAAAGACAGGTACCTAACTGGGATCTCTGCACTGACACCACTAAGTCAGACGCTGACATCACACTACCTCCCCCACCAGTGCTATGCTTCTGAAAAGGAAGGGAAGTAAAAATTAGCAAAATAAATACCATTGCCGATGGCTCCTGCACGCGCTGTGGATTCTGGTCTTCACAACAGCCTTGCAGCACAGGTGTTATTAGCACTACTGTCCATGTAAAGAAACTGAGGCCAGTACAAATCTCAACACCAGTTGCCAGCCAGGTTGGAGGCAGTAATTACCTAATCCCCACACCCAGTGCCCTTTGGATGGCTGAATCCTGCATCATGCCTTCCAGTGAAAAGGAATCACTTGTTTTTCAGTGAGGCAGAGGATGAAAACCACCGCCCATCTCATACCTGTGGTGGAGTCGATGGTAAACAAGGAGGACAGGTGTCCTGGGACAAACTCATATGCCACTGTCCCGTGCACCCCGGAGTCTCTGTCGGTGGCCAGAACACGGGTGATCTCGGTGCCCGGCTGGGTCTGGCCACTGATGCTGCTCATGTAGGTTGACGGGTTAAACACAGGGTGATTATCATTCACATCCTCCAGGTCCACTCGGACAAAAGCTTGGGCACTGAGTCCGCCCTGTGGGATGAAGGAATGGTGATTACAAATGGGCCTCTGCTGAAATGGGTATAGAGAATCATCCAGAAAGATCCCAGAACAGTACATATGCATATGCACACAGACATACCTACAACTGCGCACAGGTATGGATGCATTGACTTTTTCCTTGACATATAAGCTCCTAAACTTCAGTGCTGATTCTTAAACATGAACAAGATTACCCCTAAAGAACATTAGGGGTTAAAAATTTCAGAGCAGATGGCAAAGACATTTCTAAGTGAGCTGGTGTGTAGTGAGAAGTATGTGTGTGTAGGGGTGGGATTGGCTGGCGATACCCCTGTGAAATCCTAACTAAGCAGACTTCAGTGCGGCACAGACAGACTCAAGTGAGGGTACTGGGCTGCAGGAGGAAAGGTTACAGCTGATGCAGGAGGAAAGGTTACAGCAGAGGAGACTGCAGGCAGGAAGACTGAGGTCGGAGTGCAGTGCAGCTCCGTGGCTGCTCAGGGGCAGGGAAGAAGGCAGAGAGCCTGTGTCCCAGAGGCCAGGGCAGGTTATGGAGGCTGCTGCAGGCTCCTGAGAGGCTAAGGAGAGTTCTGAGCAGAGAAGGACTGGGCTGTACTCTGACCGTAACCATTGTTCTGACTGCAGCGCCCAGTACAGAGGGAAGGACATGCAGGGTGGAAGGCTGGGTCCAGGGAGGAGGCTCCTGGGGATCTCAAGGTCACAGGAAGGTGAAAGCCTGGATAGAAAGATTCTCAGTGAAGGGACTCATCCTTCCCCTCAGGGTGGTGAGGAAGTGTGGCCCTCCTCCTCAGAGTAGTAAGGGCCACACCCTTCATCCCTGAGGTGATAAAAGAACTGGGCTACATCCCTGAATGTCTGATTGCTTTGAAATTCTGGAGTTTTCAGGCCTCACAAGGTTAAGTATGGAGAAGTAAAAAGCAGGTCTCAGACTGGTTATTTTGTGTTGCCTCCACCTAAAAACAAAGAGAAGCGGGAACCAAGAAAATAGAAGAAAATCATTCCTGCAGTGTCTCCTTTCCTAAAGTAAAACATATGTTCCTGCTTTCAGGCACCAATTTCGACTTCAATCTGGTTCCTTGGGACGCTGGGCTTTGACGAAAGTCCTTGGGAAGTCATAGCTGCCTGGGTTTCCTCCTCGTTCTTCCCTCCTCTCTTCCTCCTTTTCCTTTCTGTTCCAGTTTCCTACTGTGTCAGGGGTCTGAGTGGACAGGACGGAGAGGGTGGGGAGGATGCTCGGAGTGGATAGGACAGAGAAGGAAGGGAGGGTGGATGCTGGGGGTGGACGCGATAGAGAAGGTGAAAGGATGGCCCAGCAGGACCCAGGGGATGGGGGCTGCTCCAGTGCAAATGCCGACACCAGGTGGCCTGGAGGGCAAGAAAGACCTTGCTTGGGCTGGCATTAGTGACAGCCAAAAAATGTCTCTCATGCTTTGAGGTTTCATACACAGAGTGCATATTCAGAGACTGAAAATGAAGGAAGAAATTCGCCACTAGGAGCCCTGTGAGTCCCCACATCCTGAGTTGAATGCAGTGTGGTTACCCACAGAGTAGGAGAAACGAGGGCTGCTTATGATCATGATAAAAATCAGGGCTGTTCTTCCTCCCAGCCCGTGTGTAGACAGTGCAGGTGGCCGTGTATCCTCAGCAGGGTGAGAGGGCCGTAGGGGGCCAGCTCAGGGAGTTCCCAGGCGTCCAGGTCAGGGGCACACTGGCTGTGAGCACAGAGATAATGCTGTACTGTCCCGTGACTGCCTAACTCCCTGCCTGCTGGGCTTCACTTTCTCTCTTTCTTTGCAATTTTTCTCTCTTGTTCTACTTCTCAGATTTGAGAAATCCCCTGGTTGGAAGAGGGCTGAGAAATCAGGAAAGAGACAACATGGTAGGGTGAAGGAGATAAGCACAAATAGATACCGCCAGGCTTACTATGCTTAAGAATCTTGGAGATGCCAGAGCAGGCAACACTCTGCAAACAAGCAAGGTCAGACAACAAAGTGAGAGCACTCCTGGTCACAGAGCAGTGACTCCTCCTGGAAGAGTGATACAGATCTCAGGCTTCCTGTCAGTATATTCATGCCTTAGCTGCTGAACTTATCAAAGCTGCCGAGTCTGTCAAATTGGTCCTTTAATAAAAACCATTTATGGAATGTTTAAGTCTATTTTATATATTTTTTTCTGCTTCAGTTGTTATCATCGCCCTTTGCAAGATTTGTATGTTTCTCCTGCTAACACAGATAAGAAACCAAAGGACAGAGAGGCAAGTGGCTGGCTCGCTCCTGGGAAATGAGCTTGTAACAGCCTATCTGCAAGGAGTGCAAAGACTCTTCTGTCCTCAAAGCCCTTGGTGACATTTTGAAGTTTTAAAATTGGATTGTGATAGAAGTTCTTACACGTAAGCCTTCTTTAATGACTGGATAGGGACCGTGCTTGCCATGCACTCAGTTTTAGAGAACGAGACAAGTCCTGTATTTCTCAGGAGCTCATGGTGTATGAGCTGGGTGCTGTGGTCTAGGCGTGGGGCACAGAACAATCCACAGCCAAAAGCTCAGTGCCCAGTTGTGACTGTGTCCAGGATGGTGCCCTGGCAGAAGGTAGACAGGCTGAGTCTGAGCTGCCTCTTACAGGTCTGCCATCGAATGAATGGTATAACACAGGTGAATGCATGTGTAGTGATTAATAATCATCAAACAGAAGGCGGTGTATACTCTGTAGCCTGAATACTTGAGGCCAGACTGATTTGTTTTAGAACCATGAATTTTTTCATGTTTTAAAAGCTCACACAGTGCATATATTCCAAGTAGGGTCTGGGGTGCCACCCTGTGATCACGATCTCAATAGCTTAGAGAAAAACCTGAGTGACCTCCTGTGAGTTCAGATCTATTTTCTCACCTGGGTGAGCATTTCACAACGTTTTATTCTGAGAGCTTCAGAGTTCTGACAAAACAGTTAAAGGACTGTGGCTGCCTTCGGATGCAGACAAGTGCTACACTCTAGCAGTGAGCAGCAGACACAGTAAAACCACACCATAAAGGGCCCTTGGAGGTAGGCTCTCAAAACTAAGTGACACAGTCTTGATTGTGCTTGCTGGTGGGATCCACCAGCAAAAAAAAAAAATAGTATGTGTATGGTCCCGGTCTTAGAAAGGGATCTTTCCCACTGTTTTAGAAAAACCTGGTTCCAGAGGATGAGCACCAGCCACCCAATGTAGGAGGTGCTATGAGACCACTAGTGAGGAATACAGATCTATAACACACAAAGTGACATTTACTGGGGACTTACAGACAGAAATGTTTTGGATGGCAGAAAGACAGGTGGGTCACTGCACTCCGAGGTAGAAGGAAGCATTTACATGCTAAGCTGGAGAGGTCTGCAGCCAGCCAAATGTACCTGAGCTTTCTCAAGAACATTAATGTATCCAGTGTTGACTCAGAAATACGCAGTCCAGGTGTTGTGTCAACACAAAATGTATGACTGAGTATCTTTAAGGGCTTTGTCTTACAGGGAGTAAAACTGGGTTAACAGCAAGATGGCTGTGGACCCATCAAGCTGATTCACAGAATCTTCTTTGGGAGGAGCATGCTGGAGAAATCAGGATTTCACAGAGCACAGTTTCAGGAGACTTGTCCTAAATTCATTTTCTCCCTCCTGAAAGCATCCCCTTCCCAAGGCTGTGTTACAGCCTCTGCTTGTCTCTTGGAAACTTCTCATGAGAAACTCAGCCAGAACCACCAGGGGAGCCACTTCTGGATTCACTGCCCTTAGAAACCATGTAGGATAAGGAACCTTTTCTTTAAGCTGCTAAATTAAGGAATAATGTATAATAGAGCAAGAAATAATTAACATATCCCATAAAGGCATGCATGATGAGTGTTTCTTGTCTTACTCTTTCTTTTTCCATGAATAAATCATGGGTCCCTTTGGTTTTAAGTTATGAAAAGAAACTCCTAAATGATCCACGTAAACCTCAATCCCCCCTACACATGTTGGAAGAGCTCCAATCTCAGAAGCATATGTTATCAGAGCCATGAAGGTCTCCCAGGTCAACTGTAAGAAACAGACTTTTTTGCTGTACTTTCTAATGTTGTTATTACCTACTTCCTATTCTCTTCCTTCTTGCTTCTTTGGACTCTGGAATAGTAGACTATGAATATCTACCCTTCACATCTCTTAGCTCTTGTGAGCTGTGGTATGCAATCTAGAGAGCTTTCTATATAAGTGCACTGCAGGTCAGATTTTGTGAATAAGGTGAAGAGAAATGAGGGTCCAGTTCATCAAAAAACAGTAAGTGAAGTGTCACCAAAGCCAAGGTAACTGCATTCAAGGACTACTTTTTTTTTAATTTCATGAGCAGCTGTTGTAATTGTAATCAGGAGAACAGCTTTATTAGAGCAAAGGGAGGGAGGAATACACACACACAAAACTCAAAAAGTAGGCAAATATTTTAGGTAGATGTGCTATGAAAGATGGAAAAGGAACAGTATGCTTTTTAGAAGGTGTATGCAATTACAGGCAGTTCTTTTTCTTAAGATGGAGATCGTTATTATGCTTCATATGGCTATGGGAATCATTCCAGGGAATTTGAGAAATTAATGATGCAGGAAAAAGAATGTCAGCACACCGGAGATATCCGTGGGAGGGGTGGAGTGGCTGGGACTCTGAATGGCAGAGGATCTGCTTCTGATGCAGGCATCTCCAGTACCACACCAGGAAAGCAGGCGAAGAGCGTGAGCTGACCAACAGTCTTGTGAGCAGACTTGGAGGCTGGAATGGAAGAATTTCTTCTCATAAGCAGATGTGCTCTTTTATTTTTTATTTTTTATTTTTATTTATTTATTTATTTATTTATTTATTTATTTTTTGTCTTTTTCACTTTTATCGGTACCAGGGATCGAACTCACGACTGCCTGCTTGCAAGGCAGGCGCTTATGCCGCTGAGCGTGCTCTTTTAGTCCTGAAACAGTTACCACTGAGCGTCCTTGTAAGTGAGAAAAGTC